AATTCTGGGGTACAGTGTGGTGTTTTCACATACAATTTGAACCATTTCCAACAAACTGGTTAACATAGCCTTCATGTCATTTTCTTAGTTATTGTGTTAAAACATTCATATTCTACTCTTAGAAAGATTCACTTGTACCCTTGTAAGATAAACTACAGAAGTGATCCCTCCAATCCCCCTCCCTCCACCCATTCCTCCTCCCCTCTCCCTCTCTACTTTTTGACTCTTTTAAAATAACACTTATCTTAAACACTAACAAAAATATTTTCTTTTCTTTTTTGAGACAGAGTCTTACTCTGTTGCCCCAGGCTAGAGTGCTGTGGTGTCATAGCTCATAGAAACCTCAAACTCCTCAGCTCAGGTGATGCTCTTGCTTCAGCCTCCTGAGTAGCTGAGACTACAGGTCCCCACCACAACACTTGCGAGTTTTTCTATTTTAGGGGTCTCACTTCTGCTCAGGCTGGTCTCGAACTCCTGAGCTCAAGCAATTCACCTGCCCTGGCTTCTCAGGCTGCTAAGACTACAGGCATGAGCCACCGTTCTGGGCTTATTTTCTTTCTTTATATCCTTATTCTATAAGCTTTTTCCTATTCTAAAACTGTTTTATTTCATATTTTTTTAGTTTTTAAGTTTTTTTTTAATTAAAAACTAAGACACAAACACACATAATAATAGCCTAAGCCTAAACAGTGGTCAAGATCATCAGTTTCACTGTCTCCACCTCCACATCTTGTCCCACGAAAAGGTCTTCAGGGCCAATAACACACATGGAGCTGTCATCTCCTATGCCAACAATGCCTCCTGAAGGACCTGTGTGAGGTTCTTTTACAGTTATTTTATTATAAGTAGATGGAACATACTCTAAAATAGCAATATAGTAAACACGGAGGCCAGTAACATAGTGGTTTATTACCATTATAATTATGTACCGTACATAATTGTATTGCCATACTTTTATACAACTGGCAGTAGGATTGTTTACGTGGTGTCACCACAAATACATGTAGTAATGCATTGCCGCTGTGTTCCGTTGGCTGTGACTAAATCAGGCAATAGGAAATTTTCCGCTCCTTTATGATCTTACAGGGCCACCATTGGATATGTGGGCTGTCATTGACCAAAATGTCCCGATGCAGTGGTATGACTGTGCATCATCGCCTGTGCTCCTCAGACCCCATCATGTTCCTACAGGTGTCCCACTGGCATCCTTGACAGCAGAGGGTCAGGTACAGAGTCTCATGCTGCATTTAGTTATTCTGTGTCTTCACTCTCCTTTGGGAGCGGGACAGTTTTGAAGATTACTGGCAGTCAGTTTGCGGAATGCCCCTGGGGATGGGATTGTCTGAGGTCTCTGGCAGGAAGCTCGAGGAGCTGTGTTGCATTCTTACTATAGCCCCCAGGTGCTGCAAGTTTTTAACTTGTCCCATTGGTAATGGCGTTTGCTTTGGTCACTTGATGACCAAGTTTCTGCACTGTGAAGCTGCTCTTTTTCTTGTTGGAATGAGTATTTTGTGGGCAGGCACTCTGAGGCTGTAAACACTCCATGGGGGAACATACACTTTCAATGTATTTCCCTGCTTGCTTCTGTGTGCACTAGTGGCTTCCTATTTGATTCGGTTACTATTATGGATGCTTAACTTGCCTTTGATTTTGGCCACCAGAAGCTCCTTCAGGTTGACTCTGTGTCCTACTGACGTGCTCCTATCATTCCTTAAGTACTTCCTTGTTTTCTGGCAAAACAGCATGTTCCAGACTCATTTTCTGCTTTCCCTGCCCCAGTGCCGGAATCAGCCATTTTTCCAAGGTGCTGTGACGGCTGGGGACTAGACACACTCATGTCCCTCTACATTTATGGATTTACCTTTATATGTTCCAGCCCACAAGGGCACGCTGATTACTCTAATTTTAATCCTGTAACTCTTTTCTCTGACAATGGGAAGCCTGGCTTATTAGTAGATTATTTGTTCAGTCAGCGTCCCTGTATGTAACCAGTCTCCTAGCTCTGCCACCCATCCCTCCCATGAGATCCCCTGCTCTCCTTGCTTGGACTCCAGTGGTCCAGGCAGGCCCTTGGCTTTCCCTAGATGCCTCCCTCCAGCCTGCTGGGCTCTGACAGCACACACAGTCCATCCATGGAGGGCACATGCTCCCTGCTCCCTCCTTGACACTGCTCTAAGGTACCATAGCTTCTCCCTCCCCTGCCATGGTTACCATCTTTGTTCTGCCCCACTTTCTGGCTTTAGGACAGGACTGTTGAGGAAGGGAAGGCAAAGAAGGGATGGCTTGCCTTGTCTTTTTGTTTGTTTGTTTGTTTTCCCACTGGCTGTCATATGCTCCTATATTGAAATATTTTCCGGCTCGGTGCCTATAGCTCAACCGGCTAAGGCGCCAGCCACGTACACCTAAGGTGGCGGGTTCGAATCCCCAGCCCGGACCTGCCAAACAACAATGAC